GAACTTATAACAAGCAGCAAACATTAACAAGTTAACAAGTGAAATTATTGTCTTAACAAAAATATCCAATCACTTCGAGGTCACTATTAGATATCAAATTATTTCAAAAGTTGTTCATCAATATTCTCCTTATTTAGCTTTTTACTGTGTCTCAAGGAATGGCTGGAAATCATCAATATAATCAAAATAAATAAAATATGAAAATTATAAGGAGTTGTACTATTCATAAGTTGTATTATAAGAGCATGCACAGCACAAGTCAAGGAGAATTTGACAATATCTTTTAAACCAAAATCTCAAGGCAGTATATTCATGTATTTTCTATATCCTTTTACTTATATATATAAGATTATTTTCAGTCTAACTTTATTTAGTATAAGACTTTTTTATACTAACACTAATAACATTGATAAGAAATTCTAATAGTATTAGGAAAGGAAAATCTTCTTAGGATAAAAATCCTCTAGATTTAGTTTTTTCCGTCAGAAGGACAAAAATCCTCTAAATTTGACTGTCTAAAGTTATGTGAATTTAAAATAATATTAACTATTGATTAAACTAACTTTCATTATTGGGGATCACCTTATAAAATAAAGAATATGCTTTGTTAGAGTCATTGAGTGCTTTCAATACAATATTAATTTGGTAACTTATAAAAAACATTTGCTCTAGTTCTTTATTTGCATGACAATTTTATGCCATCAAAGGTTAATATTATATCAAATTCAAAAAACTTTAGAGAACCAACTTTAGGGTTTAGGCTACACTTAGCTGCATGAAGATTTGAATTAGGATTAAAATTTGAATCAAATTCTTTATTTAGAGATATAAAAGTCTTGATGGATTTCATATTTTAGTATAATTTTCTTGCAATTTCAATTTTTATCTAGATCTTATTATTTGACATTCCAGTTATTTCAACTTTCTCGTTTTCTTCATGTTTTTAATGTCAGTGTCTCTATTACTCTCACCTCTACTCTTCTCATTTTTCATCATTATCTCTCATCAATTAAAAAATAAAGATTAGCTCATCACTCCCAATCTTTTATTTTTACTTCAAATCTCAACTTGTCTATCTTCCTTTAAAATTTCTTACATCATCCAACAACAAAAAAATACATAAATTTTAAATTTTAAATTTTTTAAATCTAAAATTTATAAATTCAAATTTATCAATCCAAATGTTACCTTAGAATTTTAATCCATCTTCTTAACAAGCTAATTAATTAAATTAAGTAAAGAAAAGGCTCGTACACAAAGGAGAATCTAGCAATAATTAATTTGAGCACCCAAAAGCTAATAAAGTCGATTAAAGGATAATGTGTGGTCACTGTGTGTGTTTAGGGTCTTATTCTTTTCACTGTTTTTGTCTCTTGTAAGTGACTTTCTCTCTAGAACCCACTCCCATACCCATTAGTGAAGTCCTGCCCAGTCAAGTGGAAATTAATTAAAACAATCAATGAAGCACTAAGAACAATTTAATATACCAGATAAAAAGTGCAATTAAAAAGATCATATATACAAAAAATATTATATTTCTCCTCTATTCTTTATAGTCATAGGAAAACACGTTGATCAGCGCAATCCAATGAATAGAAAATCATGCAGTCAATTTAAATTGGTGACAAGAATGATATAAAGAAGCAAGTTGCCTTTTCTTTTCAATATCTTTTTTTATTTAATTTTTATTTTTTTACTATATACAATCAATTTTTTGTCATATAATATTTCTCAACGAACAAAAATAAAACATTTTTAGAAGCATCAATGGTGGTTTAATTAACCAATCTTGTTGAAACAAGTGGGGGTTATATGTTATATTTACGTATTGTATGCATTCAATTGGAGATTCTCAATATGATTTTTTCCCCATTTACGAGATTTGAATCTTCAATCTACTCAAGTGAACTTGAGTTTCTTTCATCCAACCCAGTTTACTTTTGTCATAGTCATTATTCTTTGATTTGGAATTTTTTTCCAAAATCAAACTAGATAAAATACTCATATTCATTATTTATTTTATACTCTTCAATATCTTAGAAGCTCTTTGATTTTTATTTTAAAAAACGTTTTTCTGTTTTACAAAATTATAAAAAAAATTTCTCAATAAATATTTTAGATTTAATATTTTCAAAATTTTTATTTTTTTTAAAAATAAAAAATAGAAATATCTTTAAAGTATTTTTTGTTTTATTTTAAAGTATACTATATTTTATTAACATAACTATATTTAACTATATATGAGTAATGCCACTAACATAGGCTACTGCTATTAACCACTAACATAAACTATTTTTGATTTTTTCTAACTCTAAAATTATAACTTTTAAATTAACATAATCAAAAAATTTGTTTTTTTGCTTTAGTTTGAAAAATAATTTTAAAATTAGTTTACATAATAATTTTGAAAAAAAAACTAGAAACAAAACCAAACTAACCCTTCATTTTCACGCCGGTGCTAGTGATCATATTCATTTACTCTTTGCTAGAAAAGTTTGATCATATAATTTTCACAGTAGTCTAAGATAAGTTTTCCTGTGTCCAACATGTTATCACCTTATCGCTCGAAAAGTTGGATCATGTATATCTGCATACACACCTCAAATATCTTCAATAATACTCATTTTCGTTGTAACGTTTTTTTTTTTAACTTTTAAAAATGATACAATGTTATTTTTACTATTAACAAAAGTTAACTTTAACATTTAATTAACAAACAGTAAAAAAAAAAGAAAAAAAACCTAAAAGCCTATAGAAAGAGATTAAGAAAATTACAGACAAAGACCTAAAAATTATATAAAGGGACCAAGAAAGTTTTCTTGATCATTTTCTGTAATTTTTTACACAATTTCTATAATCTTTTAGTCAACAAAAAGTTAAAATTAACATCTATTAATAGTAAGAGTAATATTATACTGTTTTTAAATGTTAATAAAAAATATTATATTAAAAATGAATTTAAAATTTTAAATGTTTATAGACCTATATACAATTTAACGGCAAATTTGTTATTTAGTTCAAAAAAATAATATTCCTTTTCATGGGGACCCAAGCTGTACTGAAGTAAAGCTACACAGAAGGTACAACAGCCACCAACATAATACCACTGTCATAGATATTAATTGGATGATTATATGTCATCTTCGTGAAAGCAGGAAGCACGCACGCTTTATTATTACACGACTAATGCTTTCAAGCTTCACTTAATTCCTCCTTCAGCTAAAGCAAGCGCAGACCGGGGAAAAAAAAATATCACCATGTACTTTTCTTTTCTTTTTTCTTTTTTTTCCGTTTATATTAAAAAATCTCTTGGTGTCATCACTTTTCACATATGTTTGACTTTTAAATTTAGATTCTCTAAAATTACTTCAAGTGAAATGAAGAAAAAGTAGAGAGAAAATTAATAGTGGGTTCTATTCCTGATATGATCATGTGTGGATTTTGTAAATCCATGATGACTTACAACAGAAAATGTCTGCATATTGACAGAAAAGAAAAAAGAAATCCAGGTTGGCATGACTGTGGCCTAACAGAAATCAATTAATTTGCTTGTGCGACATCTTTGAACATGTGTATTAATCACATGGTAAAGTTATATCATTATTCTTCTATATGTATATGAATTTAGGGAGGCAAGATGACAAAATATATATAATAATTGAAGAAAAGTTAGATCTATATATGTCATTGACTGACATAATATAAATATTTCAATGTAAATATTTATATTTAATTTCATAAATATATAACAAAGATAAATAAGTATTTTTATTTCTAAAATTTTATTCATCAATTTTTTCATGGCATAAGAATAATTAATTATCATATCTATAATAAATTTTTTAACAATTTTCTTCTAACTATAAACTGTTATTAGATTAGTGAAAATTTCATATTTTTCATGAGCATTGCATGATTTTATAAATGTATCCTTTGAATCTAAAATTTTGTTCAATCTAAGAAGGTTTATTAATTATTTTTAAAATTTACTATTTAATTTTTTTAATTGATAATTATAATAAATAAATATATTCTCAAAAGTTCTGAAGTTCTAATCAACATGGTAATGATATTCAATTGTCACAAAATCTTTATGTCAATAATATCAAATTATATCATATTAGAAACCATTCATGCAATAAATTTTAATAGTTTGGTTGTTATAGAAAAAAGCAATTTTTCTCTAGGAAAACATATCTTAACCATAATCTCTTAATCTTCAGATAAATGATTTTATGATAGATATCAAGTACATAGCATTTAATATGTTGGAATATTTTTTTTGCCATGCTATAAAACAAAAGCAAAATTAAATGACACAAATGTTTTAAGATCATATGTAGCATTATTTGGTTAAAAATAAGTAGATCATATAGTAACTATATGTTTAAACTACTAAAATAGTTATATAAGATATACATAAAAGATTACATATAAAATTAAAATGGGTATTTTATCTAATGTCTAAAGGCTTTTATAATGTGTCAATTTAGGAGGTCAAAATACACATAACCCTTACATTTTACTAAGAAAAAATTAACGAGTTAGGTGGTTTCAACCAATAACATATACGAACAATATAAGATATAAAATCAAGTACTAGCAGCGTATATGTGTATGAAGTTTTATGGCGAAATCAATAGCATCACTATGCCATTATTTTTCAATTACATAACTGTCTAAATTTTATATATTATTTTAAACAAGATATAAATAATAATTCTGTAACTGTAGTTTTCATAAAATAATGATTGAATGTAAATAGTATGAAATTCAGATTATTTAAAGCTAACCTAAATAATTCAGATTTATTAAAAAATGGCACTGTAGTCATCAGTAACAAAGGATCCGTAATAAGATATATATATATATATATATATATAAGGATATAAGGCGGTAGGGTAAATGCTAACCATAGTTAGCTTCCCAACCAGAGATCCTTAACCATGGTCACTTTCCAAACCATATGTATGTATATATATAACAGACGTCCATCTCTGGGCAATTCCACAAGCTAGCTATTGAGAAGTATCGAACTTTCTCTGTTATTTTACTCTTTAAACTCTCTTATTTCCAAACGCGAAGCCATGACAGTATCTTCTTCACCATCATCACTATCATTTGTTAACTCCTTCTTCTTGGTACTGTGTCTCGGAGCTGCAATATTATTCCATTTCGAAACTACCATCTTGCTTCGCTCCTATTGGCCTCTCACTTTATTTCTCTTCTCTTCTCTCACCCTCTTGGCTTTCTCTCTGAATTACTTGCTTGTTCCTGGAGGCTTTGCATGGAGGAATTACGATCATTGCAAAAGCCCTAATAATAAGTTTCGTGGTCCTACGGGTTGGCCCATATTGGGGATTTTGCCTCAGATGGGTTCTCGGGCTCACAGAAACCTAGCAGCCATGGCAAGTTCGTTGAACGCGAAAAGGCTCATGTCGTTTAGCCTAGGAACTACACCGGTTATCATAAGCAGCCACCCGGAGACGGCGAGGGAGATTCTATACAGCGTGTCGTTTTCGGATCGTCCCACTAAGCAATCGGCCCGCTTGCTGATGTTTGAGAGAGCCATAGGGTTTGCTTCCGCCGGGACTTACTGGCGCCACCTCCGGAAGATCGCCGGCTCCATGTTTTCTCCGAGGGGGATCTCTGGCATCGAGATTCTCCGGCAACACGTGGCCGATGAAATGGCGATGAGGGTTGAGAAGGAGATGGAGGACAAAAAAGTGGTGGAAGTTCGAGGAATATTGCAGAAAGGGTCGTTGAGTAATATTCTGGAGACTGTGTTTGGAAGCAGTTTGGGAGATCATGAGAAGAAAGAGTTAGGTACTATGGTTGAAGAGGGTTACGATTTGATTGCTGAGTTCAACTGGGAAGATTTTTTCCCGTTAAAATTTTTGGACGTTAAAGGTTTGAAGAGAAGGTGTCAGAAGTTGGCGGCTAAGGTAAGTGGTTTGATTGGTCAAATTGTGAAACATCGAAAAGCAGATCAGAATCAGAATCATGATCAGAATAATGATTTGCTCAGTACTTTGCTTTGCTTGCCTGTTGAGGAAAGATTGGATGATGCAGATATGGTAGCTGTTTTATGGGTAAGTACATATCTCTTAAGCACTTTCTTTTGGAAGATTATTTCTCTCCAACAAACAAACATTTACACACCCGGTGGACCTTTCTACAAATTAACTTAGATTAATTGGATAACCTTGAAAGTGTCAACTTACAATGCATGTGTGTCGGTTGGTCCGTACGTACTTGATTCCTTGTATCCTATTGGTCTTTCGTGGAGGATTCTATAAGTGTGTGTGCGCGTGTGTGTGTATATATATAAATATGATCCAGCAGATTGTTAGTTTAACTAAATATTTTATAAGATTCAGATTGTACTGCGTCACAATATAGAGTGTTATAACCTAACGATATTTAGAAATTTAATTTTTCTGCGTTCTGAAGAACTCACGTCTTTGTTAAAACACAGCTTAAGTAGTTTATATATATATATATATATTGATTTAATGATTTTCTCTTCTTTAATACTAAGTTAATAATTTTGACGTCTAGGAAATGATATTTCGCGGCACAGACACAGTTGCGATCCTTCTTGAATGGATCATGACCAGAATGGTTCTTCACCAAGACATACAACTGAAAGCTCGCCAAGAAATCGACACGTGCGTCGGAGAGAATGGTCACGTGCGAGAGTCCGACATTCCCAACCTCCCTTACCTTCAGGCCATTGTCAAAGAAAGTCTCCGCCTGCACCCACCAGGCCCGTTGCTGTCGTGGGCCCGCCTTGCTGTTAATGATGTCCACGTGGACAAGATGTTCGTGCCAGCTGGTACCACAGCAATGGTTAACATGTGGGCCATAACACATGATTCAGAGATCTGGGAGGACCCATGGGCCTTCAAACCCGAACGATTCATAAAAGAAGACGTGTCCATCATGGGCTCGGATCTGAGGCTAGCACCGTTCGGAGCGGGTCGTCGGGTGTGCCCTGGAAGAGCACTGGCCTTAGCCACGGTTCATCTGTGGCTCGCAAGGTTGCTTCACAACTTCATATGGGTTCCCACGTCGTCTCAACCCGTGGAGCTTTCAGAATGCTTGAGACTGTCTCTTGAGAAGACAAATCCTCTGAGATGCCAAGTGATTCGTAGAAGGTAGATGTGTGTGTGTCTGTGTCTGTGTGTTTGTACGTCGTATATTGTGAGATGTGTTGTAGTAATTTTTTTATTTCGATTGTGTTATGTTTTGTGAGGGAAAAAGAACTGAGAAATAAGCAGTTAAGTGTGATGCAGTGTGTGAAATGAAGCTACGTACGAAGAAACTGTAATTCTCTCAAATTAATAAATAATCTTGAAGTTAAGAGAGATGCATGGTGTAATTGATACAACTAACTACTAACTTATTGATTTAAATTCGGTGACTGTACTTAGTATTTGTATAATTTATATTGTTAAAATCTAGATTAATAGTTCTAAACTTATATTTTACTTGAAATTAATGAATGAATAAGTTTCTTTACACTATTAGTATGGATTTCAGTGACTTAGACGACATAGGTACTCAATGCTTATTATCACCAAATCCAAAACCCTACTTTACATTATTCTATTCTATCATGCATGACTCATAATTAACTAAAATGCTAAAACGAGAAAAATCACTAATTCTTGTGTTAATTATACCAATATCTTTGAGATTTTGATTTGCATATAATTCTATGAACAGTAAAGGTGCATTTTTATTCTTAAAGTATTTTTAAGAAGCACCCAACACTCTAACATTTTTATTGGAGCAATTTTACCTTTAAAGTTATTGAAATGAAGTAATTTTTCTCTTTTTATCAAATTTTCCAGCCGTCAATATTGAAATTTTGATAGAAATGGCAAAATTACTCCATTTTAATAATTTTAAAGGCAAAATTACTTTAACAAGAACGTTAAGATACTAAGTGCTTCTTGAAAAATACTTTAAGAATAAAAACACTACAAAAAAAATGACTTTCAGCGGTGTCACTAAAAAGTCGCCGCTGAAAGTCACACTTTCAGTGGCGACTTTTACTGTCACTGCTAAAAGTTGAGAATCAGCGGTGATTTTTTAATGTCGCCGCTGATTGTCAGCATTTTTTTATTTCTTTTAAAAAAATTATGTTGTAAGTTTTAACGGCGACATACAAGTCGCCGCTGATTGTCAGTATTTTTTAATTTCTTTTAAAACAATTATGTCGTAAGTTTCAGCGGCGACATACAAGTCGCAGCTGAAAGTCGACTTTCAACGGTGACTTTTTAGTGTCACCGCTGATTGTCAGTATTTTATAATTTTTTTTAAAAATTATGTTGCAAGTTTCAACGGTGACATAAAAGTCACTACTGAAAGTCGAGAATCAGCGGTGACTTTTTAGTGTCGCCGCTGATTGTCAGCATTTTTTAATTTCTTTTAAAAAAATTATGTTACAAGTTTTAGCGACGACATACAAGTCGCCGCTAAAAGTTAACTTTCAGCGGAAACTTTTTAGTGTCGCCACTGATTGTCAATATTTTTTTATTTCTTTTTAAAAAAATTATGTTGTAAGTTTCAGCGGCGACATACAAGTCATTGTTGAAAGTCGACTTTTAGAGGTGACTTTTTAGTATCTCCACTGATTGTCAGCATTTTTTTGTGTTTTCAAAATTAGATTAAAGTATTATTTATAGGAAAAAATATATTTTTATTTTACCAATTTCATGATATTCTTTTTATTTAAATTTTAATTTATTTTCATTTTTATTTATTTAACCAAGTCGTATGTATGTATACATAGATACACATCTATATCTTGTAATATTACAAGTGGAGAGAGGTTTATATTAAGAGATAGAGAAGGGGCCATTTAACTCAATGCTTATAAAATCAAAAGTCTTTTGATTTTATAAAAGTTTAGAAAAATCATGGTTAAATTAGCTCTTTTGATTTGCTTCACTTAATTACCTTTTTTTTTGTGCTTAAATTATTTTTTGACAAGATTCAACTCTTGTTTTTCTTTTGCTTTTTCTTTTTTTTCTTTTGTCATATTTGTTTTTCACCCATGATTTCTTGTGTCTTTTTCTATTTCAAAAAGAATTTGGATATATTTTGCACAAATATCTCTTTCAAATTTTTCTCTTATTTAATTTATTCTATTTTCTATTTTTGAGATTTCTATTTGTTTTTTAATTTTTTTATAATGTATTTCTTTATTTTTACCTTCTCTACTTTTCTTTCAGGTTCACTATTCTTATTTAGTTATAGACTAAAACTCTTAAGACTTATCTTATTCTTTTTTTTGACTTAGATCCTAATATCTTATCGAATCATCTTATATTTTTATTTCTACAAGTTTTATTTTCTATTGATATTGTTCTTCCTAGGCTTAATAGGAACACCACTACCTAACTTTCCTATTCTTTCATAGGATTTTTGAATATTATATTTTTTAAATATTCTGTGTTTGTTACTACACTTACTTGGCAATATTATTTTTTATAAGTTATATGTGATATTATGTTCATGTATCTTTATTGATTTATTTCAAAAGGGGTGTTATCTATTTCATTTTCTATATTTTCTTCTACTTTTATTTTACTAGTTATAATGAAGAATGATAAATTCTACTATTTTAACATATGGACAAATAATTAATATTATAAAATCTTTAGAAAAGATAATTTTAAAAAATATAAAATAGAAATAGTTTGTTATAAATGTGAAAGATTTGGCCATTTTTATAATTTTTTTAAAAAAATTATGTTGCAAGTTTCAGCAGAGACTTGTATGTCACCGCTGATTGTCAGCATTTTTTAATTTCTTTTAAAAAATTATGTTGCAAGTTTCAGTGGTGACATACAAGTCGCCGCTGAAAGTTGACTTTCAGTGGTGACTTTTGAGTATCGCCGCTGATTGTCAGTATTTTCATGGCACCACGTGGCGTGAGGTGGGGTGCCATATGGACGGTGACGTGGTGCCATGAGTATAAGTGAACCAACATTACTTTTCAGCGATAACTTTTTGGTAGCTTTGGCGGCGACAACTGTAGCCACTGATACTTAACATTCAGCGACGACAGAAATAGTCGCCGCTGATGCATGGTTTCTGCAGTGACAATTGTCACTGCTGATTCTCAACTTTCAGTGGCGACTTTTATTATCGCCATAGATTGAATTAGCAACAAGAGCTCTGGCGGCGATATTGTGGCGACTTTTTGTCGCCGCTGAAAACTTTCAATGGTGACTTTTTGACTTTCGGTGATGACAAATGTCGCCGCAGATTTTCAACTTTCAGCAGCGACTTTTTTTGTCGCCGCAGATTGAATCAATGACAGAAGCTCTCGCGGCGACATTGTGGTGACTTTTTATCGTCGCTGAAAGTCAATTTTTTTGTAGTGAAATACACATTTGCCCTTTCATAAATATGAGACCCATAGATGAAAAATCACAATTATTTAAAACAAATAAAATTTTGAAAATTAAATAATACAAACAAATAACATTTGCAGCCCCATTGCAGGTCGTGCCTATCAAATACCATTTATAAGTTACCAACTAATAAAAATTATATGATGATTATTTGATTATTCATTGTTTCCAAATGGGTTAAAGGACAAATTTGTTTTGGAAATTTTCCTTTAGGTACAACTGATATCTTTAACTTTGGATTAACATAATATTACTTTAGAGGTTTTAAAATGTAATGGTATCCTATAATAACGTTTAAACAATGATTGAAGATTATTCTGGGAGCTAAAGGGAAATTTTGCCTTTGAAATTTGTTTATTTAAAAAGAGCAATTGGCATTTAAAATTTTTGATTGGTGAAATACTTTTGGGTTATTAACTTTCAAACTAGAAGAAAGATCTAACAACCCGTCAGAACCTACAATCAAAAGATTTTATGTTTAATTATATTGAACATCTTTAAGTCAGAATTTGACCTAGTATATAGATTGTCCATGTGGAGGTTTGAACAAGTTTGCTTGCTCAAGCCAAAGCCCAACTCATGGACACATGTTTGGACTAGGTCATTTAAAAAGCAAGGATAATTCAGAACCCTACTCGATGAAAAGTTTGTGAAGCGCTTGGTTGATAGAAGTGGTTTTGCACCTAACCAACCTTCGGGATGGCCTCTTGTCAAAATTTAAAAAGGCAAATCATTTTTTAACATTAATAAATGGTTGTTATATTTTATTTATTTAAGCATAAATAACTCAAAAATATTGCACTAATCTAATATTCATGATAATAATTGATCCTTTAGAAAAACTTTTGAAATAGAATTGCTCATTAACTTTAGTTAGACTTTTTTGACTGACAGCCAGCGTTGGTCAATTGTTACTATAGAGAAACATTTGCACAATTTTTTTTCAAACTTTCAAATAATATTACACTAATCAAAAGGTAATGATACTACTTGTACCAGGTTGAAAACTTTTAGAACAAATTTACCTTTTAACCCTTTCCAGATAATAGAACTTCTCAATTTTAATATATTATATATAGATATACAATTACACCAACAACCTCTAAGAATCCCTAATCTAAAATTAAATGGGAATTGAAAAACGGCAATGGTGATAGAAAATTTCTCTCCTATGGGCAAGGTAAACTCTTTTCTTAACAAAGTTACCTTATCATTTATGAAACGTCGATCATAAAAATACTTTCCCTTGTCCCCCCCCCCCTAAATTCATTTATTATGTATCAAACCTAGCCTAAAGTGTAAAATATAGTGTTTACTTATTGAAGTTATTTTGGGGTTTATGTTATCTCTCTGTTACACAAGTCGGCATGTAGAACTATATGCATATAATCTTATATGAATGAAGTGGAAGAAAAATGATTTTCATATTGCTATTATAACAAATAAAAGATAGATTAGTTACTTGAGGCAATTTCAAATCATAAGGATGGGGTGGATTAAAAGTAATAATAATCAGACTTCAATCTCTATAGATACGTTAGAAAAAGAGAGGCAATTATTATGATATTATAACAAAATAAAATAAATATAAACAACCAATTTTTCTTCACATAAGGAAAATGGCAATTTTTCCCCTTCCACCTCTGTTTTACCGTATAATCAGATAAGGTTGGGGAAAATCTTTATTTATTTTTCTCATACTTCGACCAGCGATGCCCCCATTCTGTCGAAAGTTTTTTTTTGGGAAAATTATAATTAAGGACCCTATAAAACCATTAATTATAATTAAGGATCCTGAATTATTGAAATTCCAATAATAGATTATAGTTTATACTTGAAATTAAAACATACGAGTTTACAAAATTGTCTTCAAATATTAAAATTATTATTATGGGTTAGGACGATTGAAAAAACCAAGATCCATACTTGTGAATGAGAT